TCTAGCTTTGGCTCTGAAGAAGGTGGCTTTGGCAGAGAAGGGAACATGGTGACCAAAGCGATGAGGCCGGAAGTCCAGGAACCTGGGTCCTCCCACACCCGGGAGTGATAGCTGGGAGTCCGAATCTCCACCCAGGCAGGGAAAGAAGAGTTTCTCCAGTCCCCCTGCCACCCTGCCTGTCACCTCTGTGCCCAGCTCCCCAAAGACCTGAGGGTCTTCCAGCTTCTGCTCAACAGGCTGTACCACTGGCTTCTCAACGGGCTTAGAACGGGCTCTCTGTCTGCCTCGAGGAGACTGAGGAAGACAGAAGCCCAGTCGGTGGGCTCCATCCGTAATCCCTCCCAGCCTTCCCTTATCTGGTTTTCTTGGGGCAGACTCCAGTCTGGAAAGTTTTGTCCAGCCAATCAGATCCTTGCAAATGCAAGGGGTGGGGCTGGGGGTAAGGAATGGAATGGTACCAAGTAAAGAAACCCTAGACAAGTTTATTAAAAAATGGAGAATCCCTTTCATTTTTGATACAGAAATCAGCTAAGATGAATACTGAGAAGCAAATGGTGTGGCATTCAAGACCCTCCATTAGGGACACAGTTGGCTCTAACCCACCTAGCATCCCACCACCCTCACCCCTGGGCAAGCCTCTGCTCAGACCAGGCAGGAGCCTCACTTGCCAACACCACCGCAAACTTTCCCCAGTGCCACGCTCTTTTTTTAAAAGCTTTTATTTATTTATTTTAGGGACACAGGAAGGAAGAAATAGAGGGAGACATTGATGCGTGTTTGCCTCTCATGACCCCAGATGGGGACCTGACTGTGAACCGAACCAGTAACCTTCCGGTCTGCAGGTTGGCGCTCAGTCCACGGAGCCATGCCAGCCAGGGCCCAGTTTCATGCTCTTGCCTGCGATGCTCACCCCTCTCCCATTCCTGCCTCCTTCTGCAGTCTGAACTCAGCCCATGCTTTTCTCAGCTGAGGAACTCGCCTCCCCTGGGACCCTGGCTGGGTCTACAGTGGAGCTGGAGCTGGGCAGAGCCTGAGGATGCTTCCAAGGTGTTCTGAGGTCTCCCACCAAGCAGGCTTGAAGTAACAGCTTCTCCCCAAATCACAAAGTCATAAGTCAGTAGATGGAATTAACACCATTTTTAACTCAGATTTTTCAAAATCATATGCATCTTCTGGCAGGATGAAGGGGCACAATCCAGTTAGAGGACAAGTAGTGAGTGATCTCAGGTGCGGCCTTCACACTGCGCTCCACCCAGGCACTGTCTCAGGCTGTGGGTTGTGGCGGGGAGTCTATGAATGTGCTGTTTCCACTGAACCTTTCTAGGCGGCCTAAATGTCACCATTCCTGTCCTCACAACAGGAACAGAACCTCCATGGACCCCAGTGCCTGCAGAGGGACTCACCAAGCTCCAGGGTGGTACCCACTCTGGGAAGCAGGGAGCTCTGTCATGGGGTTTGATCTGTCCCGGCAGGATGCCAGCAGCATATGAGACCTACAAAACTAGCCAGACCCTTGCCCTTCTAACTTCAACTTTGGAAACTAGGTCTAAAGAAATGACTCCAAAGGAAATAAAAATAATTTGCACAGAGGCCCATAGTAGCTGATTCACACCAAAAGGAAAAACAAACTGGCCAAAAGGGCCCAAACAGAAGAAAAGGTACATAAGTGATGACTTAGGACCAAGACAGAATACAATTCCCTCTGTAGTTCATGGTCCCCACAGGGCAGGCCTCAGGCTGGGCCCTGGGAACACACAGACTGTGATCTGGTTCTGTCCCCAGGAAGCTTCAGGGGATGCGAGTGGGCCAGGCTAACAGGTGACCATAGTGTGGGGAACGTGCCATAAAGAGGCTTGAACAGAAAGCCCTGGTCGTGAGAGCAGGGGACCGTGTCCTCTGCTTAGGAGCTCCAGGCAGACTTCCTCAGGAAGATGCTGCTCAACCTTTAATGAGTGAGATATCTCGGCCACAGAAGGAACAGTGCCAAAGGTGCGGGGTGCTCCCGCTGTAAACAGAGTGAGCTGGTTAGTTTTTTAAAAGGCTATTGTTTTTATTTTTTATTTTTGAAGATTGTATTTATTTCTTTTTAGAGAAGGGGAAGGGAGAAAAGACTGGGAGAGAAACGTCAATGTGTGGTTGCCTCTCAAGAGCCCCGTACCTGGGACTTGGCCCACAACCCAGGCATGTACCCTGACTGGGAATCAAACCATCGACCCTTTAGTTTGCAGGCCAGCACCCAATCCTCTGAGCCACACTAGCCAGGGTAAGCTGGTTAAATTTAAATACCGGATAAACAATGAAACTTTTGTAGTTTAAGTACATCTCACGCAGACAGCTCTCTTGTAGAGGTTGAGATACTGGGCAGCCAAAACCCAGTAACCATCATTATGCTACTGCATAGAAAATGGGAAGTCACCAAAGAGTGGGTTGTTTATTTTTAATTGTGACAATATACATAAAATAGACCATTTTAATCATTTTAAGTGTACAGTTCAGTGGCATTAAGCACATTCACTTTGCCATGTAACCACCACCACAGCCGCCCATCTCCAGAACTTTCCCACCTTCCCACACTGAAACTGCACCCATTACATAACTCCGTTCCCCTCCTGCAGCCCCTGGCAGCCACTGTCATTCCCCTCTCTCTGCGTTTCACTGTTTTCGGTGCCTCATGGAAATGGGATCGTACATTAGGCATCCTTTTGTCTCTAGCTCATTACACTTGCCATCATGCTTTCAAAGTTCACCGGTTATGTGGCACATATCAAAATCTCATTCTTTTTGAAGGCTGAATAATATTCCATTGTATGTGTATGCTGCATTTGGCTTATCTGTTCACCCAGGGATGGATACTCATGTTTCCGCCTTTCAACTGTTATGGACCATGCTATGAACACGGGTGTACAGACGTTCCTCCCGACTCTGCCTGCACCTCTTTGGGATATCACACCCAGGGTGACACTATATGAAAGGGCTTTAAGCAGGGAGACAGTGCCGTGCTTTCTCTTAGGAAATGGGTTCTGGCCGAAGTATAGTTTTGAGAGCCAGGGGGAGGCCAGGGCACATGTCCAGTAGCCATGGGGATGGAGGGATGTGAAGGTCGTAGCTGACAGGATGAGGTGATGGAGAAGATGACCCCCAGGGTCCTGGCTTGTGTGACTGGGTCAGCTTGAGGTGACGTGAATGGCAGAGGCACAGGAAGAGGCAAGCTGATGGATGAGCTTTGATGTGACTTCACAGTTGAGATGCAGGTCTAGAAGATAATTCTAGACTGTTTTGAGTTCACGAGAGAGTTATGGGCTGGAGAGAAAGACTGGCAAACCTTGTGTAACAGGGCAGCCTGGAGAGCTTGAGGTCATCTAGGAAGAGCAAGCAGATTGGAAAGAGCTTCCGGGACTGAACTGCAACATCTCAGTGGAAGCAAAGAAAGGGGTCAGCAATGCCATGGCCCCAAGAAGGGCATTCTCGGCCCAGGCCGCCGAGGCCCGAGTCCACAGCAATGCGGATCAGTTTCTTCTGGCTGAGCAATAAACAAGAGTGAGGGCGCCTGGAGGAGATGGGACAGAAGCAGGAGCAATTTTCAACCTTCCTTCAAGGAGCTCAACCTTGAAGGGCCCAATGTAAGTAGCTAAAAACAGACTGTTCAAGACTTTTTTGGGTCAGGATGGTTGTTTTTAACACTAAAATGAACATAGCCTGTTTAGGACTGTAGGAGAAAGGCACAACCTCAGAGATGAGAGAATCTGATCAAAAGCCAAAGTGGAAAGCTTGGCCTTGAAAAGAGGGGCCTGCTTTTCCTCTGGGTGAGGGAAGGAGGTAGAAGTAGGGAGGTTTGGGGAGGCTGTGGAGAGAAGTTAAGAATGTAAAGGCCCTGATTTGCTCAGTCTAAGAGGCAAGGACAAGTATAAAAAGAGACCTGCAGAGAATGGCTTGTGCCATCCTGTCTGTAGTTGGTTGGATATCTGCATCTTTCTCTGCATCTTTGACTAGCTCCCTGGGGGCTTCTGTACCCACTGCTGTAGAGCATCCAGGATGAGCCTGTGTGACCAGCTGGCTCCTCCACAGGAGCCTGACAGGGAGGGGGGATAGGAAAACAAGGGCTGGACTCGGGCTAGGGCGTAGGATTCATTCCCAGACATTGGATAAAGTTCTTAGCAGCCCCACCCCAGATTCAACTTTCCTTCCTGCAACAGCTGGGGATGGGGCTCCCCTTGAGGCCTCCTTCACAGGTAGCCCGGCCTTGGAGGAATGGTTGTGAGCAACTGGACAGAACAACATGGCCGGGGGGAGGCAGTGATCTACCTACCACAAGGTACTGAGGCTGGGCTCTCGGGCTGCCCCCTGTAAAAGGGACAACCCTGTGATACAGCCCAAAGAAGGCTTAGCTTTCTGGGTCTCACATCCTCGGCTCTGCCTTTGACCCAATGGAAGAAATACAATCTCCGAATAGACAGAAACTCTTCATTCAGATTTATTTAAAAGAAACTCCAATTTTCCCTTAAACTCCACATTCTTAGTTTTTCGGGGACAGAGAGGTTTGCATTGATGACATCAGCTCATTATCACTTGGCTACTCCTGATCAGGAGTCCTGCCCCACCAGCTAGTGAGGACAAGAATTCTTCAGGTGTGGTCCAGCTCAAGGGCGTCTGGCTCACCCCGGCACAGGGACTTGCTTGCAGACTCTGACACAGGCACTGGACGGGTAGTCTGGGGACTCTCAGGCCCTGTCAAGTTTAATTAGCGCCCACCAGGCCTGTGGCATTTCGGGTAACCCAACCAAGTGCTCATCTGCCCCGGCACTCTGCTATCCACTAGCCCCTCCACAGTCCTCTTCGCCTGCACATCTACAACCCTGTAAATGTGCAAAGGTTCAGCGACCTGGGGGTTGGTGCAAGTTGTGGCCGAGCAGCCTTTGAAAGCACACCTCCTACCAGCACCGAGAAAAGAAAAATGGGTGAGGGACTAGGATTCCCTGAAGACAAAGAGATGATGCCTCTGCTCAACTCCCAGCACGTGCCTCGGGCGCTGCCCTCATGTGAGAGAACACTAAGGACGCTAGACGTTAAACTGCTACCATCCCTGCCCCTCTGGGGCGTGAGAAAAGCTTCCTACGCCTTCCCAGGTGTGGCTGCAAAATGCTAGTGGGACTAGGACTGCTCGACCTACAGGTTTTTGTGCTAGAGCTGAGGAGACACCGTGCTCTTTAGTGTGTGAGAAACAGGTATGTGTGACAAGAGGGCCACCCAAGGTTCTGTGGAGGCCGGAGCCTGCGGCACCTGGTGTCACACCCCGAAATGTACCCTTTGCCCCAGGTAGTCAGCCCTCCATCAGCCTGGCGTTTAACCAAACATAACAGCAGAACACAGAACTATAAAATACAGCTTCTGAGGAGTAAACACCCATGGCCTGGGACCAACCAAGGTTCCCCACTCTCCTTCAAGACCAGCCTCTGCTGGCTGAGTGTCCACCTTCCTCACAGACAGAACTGTCCCCAGTCCACAACTTCTCCCCTGGACCATCTACAGAATCTAAGAGAAAACTCAAGCCTTTTTATAGACAGAACCAAGCCGCCAGTAGGAGGCAACTCAGGAGAGAAAGCCTGAGGCTGCTGCGGCCCTTTGCGCCCTCGCCTGCTGGGGCTGGCACAGAGCAGCCACATTCCCCCATGAGAGCAGAAGCCCTTGCCCAGTCCCCAGCTCTGTGCGCCACTCTGGCTGGGCTGTGAGTCCTCCTCCCCAGTCTGTGGCCCAGCTGGAAACTGGCCAGGGCACTGTGGGAGGTAGGGAGGAGCCAGTGGTGGGTCACTGACTAGAGCCAGGACACCCGGCCGGGCGAGCTCTATTTCCTACAGCTGCAACGACTGCAACAGCGGCCACCGCTGCACACACACTCAGAAGACAGACCTGGTATGCAGCAACAGAACACGCACATGCGACAAGGCCAGCGAAGGGGACCCCAAGTGTCTTTTCCACAGGAAGAAGGGGCTATGTACAGGAAGAAGAGGAGAAAGCCTGGCTAGGTGCACCCCAGTTTCATCTCATTCAACCAGGAGATCAAACTGCTCAGCAGCTTCAAACTCAGCATTCATGGCCGCAGCCCACTCATCCAGCTCCGATTTCTGGGGGAAAAGAAATGGGGGACAGGTGAGTGGGGAGGGGGCACATCGGCTAGATCTTTTCTACCCACACCCTGCAGGCGCTGTCTTTCCTCCAAAACAGCCAAAGCAGAGCGCTGGCCCAGAGTGTCGCCCACTATGTCTGCGTGACGGCAGAGGCAAGTCTCTTGCCCCTCACTCACCAAGATCTCCGGCACCTTCTTTTTCTTCCTTTTCTCTTTCACTGGTGGGGAGATTCCAGGGAGAGTCGTGTCTGGGGCCCAAGGATTCACAGGGGCCGTGGTGACTTCCGTTGATTTTGCACACACCAAGGGTGAGACTCCGGCCAGGTCTTCTGTCCCCAGCAACCCCTCGAAGCCAAAGCAGGATGGGCGGCCTGGGGTGGAGGTGGAGGCACAGCGAAGCGTCTCCAGCCGGCTATAGGATCTCCTGACTTTCTTTGACATTTCCAAGTCTCTGGTGTCCAGGTCTCCTTCCCTGGAGTCGGACTCAACATCCGGGTCGCACAGCACAGGAGTGGTGTTGGGGGTGACGGGGACACTACATGTCTTGAAGAGGTCCTCCCTAGTAAGCTCCTTGCTAGGAGGGTTGTTTTCTTTCTCCAAGAAAAATGCAAGCTGTACCAGGACAGGAGAGAGAATGCCTCCCTGTTACTTAGCCATATTACGACTTCCAGAAAGACCTGAGCAGCTCGTGGGTACAAGGAAAGCTCTGTGGGACGAACACTTTTAAAAGGAAAAGAAGAGTCAGGTCAGGCAAGAAATCAGACCCCGAGGCAGATGCGGAGAGGGGGAGGAAAAAACCATCGGTCTTTGCTTCCGAGGAGCCTGTTGTTACGACACAAAGACTCTCTACCTTCTGCTGGTGCTGGCAGCGCTGTCTCTAAAATGTGACTGGAATCTAGCCACCGCTAACTGATGCCAACCCTCCGTTACCCGTCATTTACACTAGTCCAATAACCTTCTAACTGCTCTTCCTGCTTCCATTCTCGCCTTCTGTGGTCCATTTGTCACAATTAACAAGGATCTCCCTAAAGTGTCCATTAAGTCAGTACATACTTATCGGTCACCTGTCTGCTTCAGGCACCGGGAGTCCCGAAGGGAATAAAACAGAGAAGACCCTGTCTCTGTGGCGCTTCCATTCTAGTGGGAAAGAAGAAACAGGGAGGAGCCATGTTAAAGACAGCAAGCATTCTGGGAGAAAACAGAACGTGATGGATAGCGTACTGGGCGCAGGTTGGAATTTTAAGTAGGTGAAAGTCAATGTAGGCTTCACTGAAGTGGCGTTTGAGCTACCACCTGAAAGAGGTGGGTGGGGGGTGTCGAGTCATCTGGAGGACACGTGTTCAAGACAAGGAATGGGGGGTGCAGGAGTCCTGGGACGGAGGTGCGCCTGCTAGGGTCAAAGAACGAGAAAGCCAATGCAGCTGAAGTGAGAACAAATAAGGAGGAACTGATTGTGAGGTAGGAGAGGTAACAGGGGGCAATACAGGTGTTTTGTAGGCCACTGTAAGAGGAGGCCAGAGGAGCCCCGGCAGGCTGTGAACAGGAAAGGGCGTGATCTGACCTGTGGATTACATGGTCCACATACTGGCACTGCATGACCCCACTCAGCTCGGATGCTGTCAGCGAGGCCGTCCCTTGCCATGGAATCTAGACCAGCCCCTCCTCGCTTCCGCTAGTCGCTCTCTTTGACAACCACTTCATGCCTATACAGCAAGCACTACGATCTGGTTTTGGTCTATTCACTTGTTAACTGCCACTCCTCACAGAATGCGAGCTTCACGAGAAGAGAAGACTTCGAGTCCAGCGGGCCCTGCCCATGCCCAGAACCTCTGACGAAGCCCTGAGTGTGGCAGCTGTCCAGTGAGTACTTACCCAGTTAATGTACACAAAGCTCGGCACTGAGCCTTTTGGCAGCCCAAACAAGCGGGAAAATAGGACAAATTTGATGACTACTGTGATCAGCTAGAAGTAAGGATATTGGTTATCAAAAGAGACATTTCCTGTCTACAAGTTCTGGGGAACATGCCCCATGGGTCTTAGTAAAAGAGATGCCAAACAAAATGGGGTTACCCGACTACTTCTTCCTCATCCCTATCGCTACGCGGTCACCCACGTCCTCACAGCCTTTTCTCTTCAATGTCTCATGAAACTATCAGTTAACCAATAAGAATGAGTGGCCACCAGGAGGGAAGTGGAAGTCCCTCCCCAGTAAACCTGAAGGTCACTGGTTTGATCCCAGTCGTGGTGTGAGAGGCAACCAATCAATATTTCTCCCCTTCTTTTCCCTCCCTTCCCTTCTCTCTAAAAGTAAATAAATGAAATCTTAATAAAAAAGAAAGAACAAGGAACGTGACAGTAACAGGGTAGGGGCAGTCAGGGAAGGCTTCTGGGAGGAGGTATCCAATGAACTCAGTCCTGTGTGATGAGATAGTTATGTGGTGAGCTGGGGTGGGGGGACCATCACTTTGCCATTATTTACCATATTTTGCCACGTATTACGTGCTCCCATGTATAACGCATACCCACATTTTGTGTGCATACATGGAATTATTACATTATGTATAATGCGCATCCTTATTTTCCCCTACAAAACTTGGGGAAAAAAGGTGCACACTGTACACAGCAAAATACTTCAGGCCTCCACCACTTTGGGATTCCTGTCAAGTCTTCCTACCTGGTCTCTGTTCCCAGGCAGCTTTGTTCCAGCCCATTCTCTTCCCAGAAGCTTCACTCAGTCACTACTGCACTTAGGACTCTCCAAAGGCTGCCCACAGCGCCAAGGACAAGAAGCTCAAGCTCCTGAGCATGGCTTTCATGCCTCACCAAGACTTGTGCTAGCTTAGCACACTTCCTCCCGACGAGACCTAATGCAGACATGCCACACAAGCTGATGCGCCCCAAACCTTGTGATTTGTGTGTGTGGACTCCAGGTCTCTGCAACCACAGCTTTCTTTGCCCGGTATACCCCTACTTGTCTGTCGAGATTAAAGACGCCATTCAGTTAAAACATTGCTTCTGTGAAACGCCCCTGAGCCATCTGGTCTGGGTTAGAGGCACTTCACAGCACCCAGTTCTTTCCACCTCTCAGTCCTCACCAGACAATGTTATCACTCGCTCCTCTGACGTCCTCTCCACTTGGCTGTAAGCCCCATACACTCCTCAAGAAGCTATCATTTCTCACTCATTCTATTTTCAGGCACAGCTTTTAATGAAACGTTTTGGTTTCTGCTAACACCATAAAAACATAAAAAAACAAGGACAAGATAGAGTGAAGAGAAAGAACAGACGGGACACAGTTCCACCTTTAAAGGAAAACAGTAGAGGATACCACCCCGTGAAAAACTAGCTAAGTCTACAAGGAGTAAGCAAGGTTATTGATGCAGGCAGGTGTCGAAAAGCAAACTTCCTAAATACTGCAAAAGAGCTCCCTGAGCACACGTGAGCAGACACCGTGCCCATCCCAGCTCGACAGTGTCCTGCACTCCACGCCACAAAGCAGATGAAGATGGACTCACCCTGGGGCTCCTTCGAGGCGAGTGGACGGACGGCACCTGCGGGGACAACACTAGTTGATCGCGCAGCCGGCCCCCGGAGTCACTCGGCACCCACCGCCCCTCTTTCAGCCCTCACCTCCACCACATGGGCCACGATCTTCTTCAGAACGATGGGCTTTTTGACCGAGGTCGCGTCGGGAGCCTGGGGAGAAGGGGCGACCCTGAGTTTTGCATCAGTCCAGGGGCCTCCGGGGCGGGAACTGAGGAGCCCCGGCTCACCTTCGGACGGATTTCAGGGAGGAGGTTGGGGGGATCAGAGCCGGATTTCCGCTGGGATCTCCGCAGAGACTTAGTAGGAGACGCTGCCGTTGGCCCTGTGGGAAAAGAGAGTTGGCGGTAGTAGGGGGCTCCAGACCTCAGAACCCGAGCGAAGGCAGGCCCCTACTAGACCGGGCGGGGGCGCCCTCGCGGGGCGGGGCCGGGGCCGGGAGCCAAGACTCCTCCGGAGGTAGGGGCAGGGCCTTCCTCAGGGACCAGGGACGGCGCCCCTCAAAGGGCTCGGCCCCACATCCCCCGAGCGCCCTCCTCTCACCGGAGACTTTGGCGGCCCCGCTGGACCGCGTTTGCCTCTCGGACATATCTGGCCTTGGTCTCGACATTCGCCGCGCCGCGCCGCCGCCGCCGCCGCCGGTGCTGGGGCTCGCGCCAACTCCAGACGTTCCTGAGGCACAACGTTCGAACTACCCGCCTTGGCCGCGAAGAAACGGAAGTGACGCAAGGCGAGAGGGTGAAGGCGGTCGCTTCCCCCCACTTCCTCGCCCGTCTCCACATCTGGCGTCGCAGGGGCGGGGCCAGGCGCGCGTGGCGTCATCAGTACGCGCCGCACCCGGAAGAGACGTGGCAGCGGAGGGATAATCCGAGCGGCCGGAGTTGGAAAGAACTGAGCTGAGGTCGGCGGAGCGCGGGGTCCACCTCTCGGACCAGCGCTCCCGCTCGTTGGGACCCGGGCCGTGGTGCATCAGTAACGCCCAGAGTGGGGTCTGTGGAGAAAGTGGGGGCGGAGCTCGGAGGAGTGTTACCCAGGAGGGGCCCTTGGGGCGGGGCTGGTGGTATCGGAGAGAAGCTGGTGGAGGATCCTGGGCAGGGGCGGCATCCAGCAGGAACGAGGGGGGTCTTCGGAGGCGGAATTTTTGCAGGGGACCTTCGGAGGCGGAATTTTTGCAGGGGGCGTGGTCAGGAGTGGAGAGGGGAGATGGGCAGATATCTAGGGCTGGTGCCAAAGACTGTCAAGGAGAGTAGAAACGAACTGGGCTGGTGAGTGCCTAGTGGCGGCCACTAGAACCTGGCTCCCTACCAACTCTTCCCCAGGGTCGACCATGGGGCTTTGCAAGTGCCCAAAGAGGAAGGTGACCAACCTATTCTGTTTCGAACACCGGGTCAACGTCTGCGAGCACTGCCTCGTAGCCAATCACGCCAAGGTGGGGCCTGTAAGGGAGCCGCTAAGCGGGGCACTGGGAGGGCAGATAGTACTGACTTTCTACAAATTCATGAAGGGCCTGACACTAGATTGGAAGCCCCACGAGGGCAAGGACTTGGTTTATTTGGTTCACTGGTATATCCCCAGCTATTAAGACAGAGTCTAGCATACAGTATGTGCTCAATAAATGTTTATTGATTGAACAAAAGAAAGGGTAAGTCTCCTCTGTGGCAAGAGTTAAAGAGGCAGTTGGCCTTAGAGAGCTGGGCTGTGGAGACCCTGATCCATTGTGACCTCTCTCTCCCACTCCAGTGCATTGTACAGTCGTACCTTCAGTGGCTCCAGGATAGCGACTACAGCTCCAATTGCCGCCTGTGCAACACACCCCTGGCCGCCCGGGAGACGACCCGCCTCGTCTGTTATGGTGAGGCCTGGGCACCTTAGGGGTATCAGGACAGGCCCAGCTCGATCACTGGTTCCTGGCCCTCCGGAAGCAGCAGGACAGTGAGACTGTCTAGCCAGGGAGGCTGGAGCCTCAGTTCCTAGTCTTGCTGGGTCGTTTATCAACTGTATAAACTGACAAGTATTTTTCCTTTTCAGGCTTCAGTGTCTTTCCCTAAAAATTAAAGCTCCTAGTTTCCTTCCTCCAGTCTCAGTTGAGTAAGAGCCAGTCAAACTCGTGGGCGTGTTACCCACGAGTTACCCTCTGTGGCTATGAGCAGTAGCTGGCCAGACCAGCTATGCACTAAAAGCATGGGGCTTCCAGGCATTCAAGATCCATTACAGACTCTAATGTTCAACAGAGAGGAAATGAGTTTTACACAGTCAAGTCTGCTAAAAGAAGTCAGCAGACACACATCATGACCTTGACCTGACTCTGGTCTAAGAACCTTAGCTGTACTTGTTGAAGGAGCTAGTGCAAAAGAGTGAGCTCTGTGTGAGCTCTGTTTTTAGTGTGTGCACGTGGATATTTGTGCATGAATTTCGCATGGTTTGTGTCTACATAAGTATTAGTGTGTTCATTAGCTTGTATGTGAACATGACTACACGTGTTGGAGGCTGTAAGAGTGTGGGTGAGGGTGCTCATGTGTTAGCAAACAAGTGAGTGTGCAGATATGCATGTGTGAGTTGGTGTGTCTGTAAGTACAGTTATAAGGATGGCACACACATTTGATTGTGTGTCTATAAGCCCATGTATATGCGTGCCCAGGAATGTGTACAAGCATTCATGTGCCTGTGTGTACATCTAAGAAGCTTTTCTGAAGCTGTTCTTGAGCTGTCCAGGCACTTATGACATCTTCTTCCCGCCCACGCCCACCCCCTAAGGGGCTGGGGAGCTTTGTAGCCTCTGTTTCGCCTTAGTGAGGTGGTGACAGTGAGTCTGAAGGCTTAGGGAATACTGATGAAGTGGACCTAGGATGAGGATGGGAAGGAGGCGGCTCTGGGCTTATGTGTGTGTGTGCGTATACCCCTGCAGTGGGCTGGGGGCTGTTGCTGGGCTAGGGATACACAGTGTCTTCTTCCTTATGCTTCTTCTTTACTCTTTCATGGGCCCTAAGATCTCTTCCACTGGGCCTGCCTCAATGAACGTGCTGCCCAGCTACCCCGAAATACAGCGCCTGCTGGTTACCAGTGTCCCAGCTGCAATGGCCCCATCTTTCCCCCAAGCAACCTGGTCGGCCCCGTGGCCTCTGTGCTGAGAGAGAAGCTGACCACGGTTAACTGGGCCCGGGCAGGACTGGGCCTTCCTCTGGTGAGAGTCCCTCTGTCCGTCCATCAGCCTTGGGTCCCACCTGGGCCAAATGAATGGGTGGGGACAGCACTGGGAAGGCTGGAGACACAGGTTCCTTCCTCCAGATCGATGAGGTGGTGAGCCTGGAGTCCGAACCCCTCAACAACTCTGACTTCTCTGACTGGTCCAGCTTTAATGGTGAGTAGTGGTCTCCGCCTGCTCTTGGGGCTCTTTGTCCCTGCTCTGCTGACAACTGTCTTCCTGCCACAGCCAGTGGTGCCCCTGAACAAGGAGAGATAGCCAGTGCTTCTACTGCCCCAGCCTTCTACAGCCAAGTGCCCCGGCCCCCAGCTTCTCCCAGCCGTCCTGAGCAGCACACAGTGATCCACGTGGGCAGTCCCGAGCCCTTGACCCATGGTGAGCCAGGGGTTGTCCAGGCCAGACCAGGGTAGAAAGGGGGTTGGGGGCTTCTCCCATCCAGAGGGACCCTTCCACGCTCCAAGCACAGACGTTACCTCCCCACAGTTCTGAAATACGTCAGTCAGGGAAGGGGAAGGATCTCCTGCCCCACCCACCGCCCCTGCTGTGGGCCCGTTTCCCTGAGTCTGTGGATGCTGGTGACTCTGCCCCTGTAGCCTCGGCCCCAAGGAAGGTGTATGACACACGCGATGATGACCGGGCACCTGGCCTCCATGGGGATTATGATGATGACAAATACCGACGCCGGCCTGCCCTGGGCTGGCTGGCCCAGCTGCTCAGGTACACAGGGTCAGGCAGGGCGGGATGCCAGGAAGGGGGAGGAAGGGAGAGCCAGAGGCCAGAGCACTACAATTTGATGGCAGAAGGGGCTTGGCCTGGTCCCCAGGTTTGGGGGCTGTGTAGAGAGACCTCAGCTGGACGGCAGGAGCCTTGGGTCTGCCCTCCTGGGCTGTTCCTCGCCTGTTAGAGGTGAGGTTTGGACTCGGGCTCTTCGAGGCTCCTTCCTGCTTCAGCACCACCCAGTCTGGTTACCGTCCCCACGCCTGACACGTTCCAGTTTCCAGAACACAGGCATTGCCTCTGCTGGTTCAAGCTGCACAGTCACCCTCGTAGTGGGCAGGTCTGGGGATGGTGGCACACTGAGGAGAGGAGGCTCAGGGATGGTAGCTCTGGGGCCAGAAGACAAGTGTCATGACCAGGGCTCCTCTCCAGGCCATGGGGGCCACCAGGGACTGGGGGCCTGATTTGACTTTCCCCTTGTCCCCCCAGGAGCCGGGATGGGTCTCGTAAGCGGCCGCTGACCCTGCTCCAGCGGGCGGGGCTGCTGCTGCTGCTGGGGCTGCTGGGCTTCCTGGCCCTCCTTGCCCTCATGTCTCGCCTGGGCCGGGCTGCAGCGGACAATGATCCCAACCTGGACCCACTCATGAACCCTCACATCCGTGTGGGACCCTCCTGAGCCCTTGCTTGTGGCTGGGCCAGCCTAGAACCTGGGGGCCTAAGGAGGGGAGGTGGGGAGGTCTGAGGGCCTTTCTCTGCTCCTTTCTCTGAAGCCCGAGACACTAAGATCCCAGGCCCAAAGCCAAGGCTTCTAGAATGGCTGCAGGCTGGGTCTGGGGATGCTGCAGATCAAATGTTTGACTTGACCTGCTTCCCCTGGGTCTCTGGCCTCCCACTCCCAATCCACGAAGGAGCTGACAGGTGGAAATAAATGGCAGACTTTATTAAAATACCCAAAGCCTCCTTTTCCTTCCCCCTTCTCAGCCCAGTCCCCAAGCCTCAGTGGGTCTCCTCCCGGTACTGCATGGCCAGAAACTCCAGGGACAGGCGGTTGAAGAACATGGTTCCGTTGAGCACTGAGCAGAGGAGAGAGTTCGCATCAGCCTTTCCTGCCCGCTCCTTGTACCTTCTCAGGGTTCCAAAGCTCCCCATTTCCCCACTCACTCAGGACGGTCAGGGCAAAGCACCGAAGAAACTTGTCTTCTCTCATCTCAGCGTAGAGTGACCCCATGGCGGCCCAGCAGATGCTGATCACCTGGGAGAACTATAGGCCCCACCCAATGGGAGAATGACCCCTTGACACAGCAGTGGGATTTTCATCAGCCCCTGGGCATCCCCCAGCCAGCCCTTGGGGCCCTACCTGACCTACCATCAGAACAATTGTGTAGCGGAAGCTCATGCGGTCGTAGTGGTGGGTGAAGTAGAAATTGTTCACGTCACTGGCGAAGACGCTCAGGTGTATAAAGAAGAGCATCAGTGCGGCCATGGTGAGCATCATGCCTTGTGGGAAGAAGAACACAGCTATGCGGTCCCGCCACTGCATCCTGGTGGCAGCACAGACTGCAGTTGGACAGAAGAGCTTGAGCCAGCCGACAATGCCCCGGAAAAGCAGCTGACCTCTCTGCTTCTAGTGCATTCTGGAATGGCAGTGGAATTCAAGAACCAGAACGTTCAAGGAGATAAGATTCTAGAAGGCTGGTTCCAGCCAATACAGGAGTGTTTTGTGGGTGGCCAGGGGAGTTCTGAATTTGGAGGTGTGGGGGGCTAACAGCACAGATCAGTGGAGCCCATGGTCTGGAAGGGACAGTGTCCTGGTCACCCCACCTGCACTTTGCACTCTTGTGCATGTCCTATCGCTGAGCCCTCTGGGTACCCCCACTGAGGAGTTAGTGTGGGCGCACTGCAGATGAAGAACTAAGGAACTGGGGCTCAGGAAGAGGGCATGTCCCAGGCCACAGCAAGAATTAGATAAGAGGTCAGGACTCAGATGTACAGCTGGAGGGCACTCCCAGGTGAGGGGAGGCTTGGGCTCTTGAGCTCCAGTATTTGCTTCAACACCTAGTGGAGAAAATAAGGGAAGGGGGGGTGACATCAGGTTTCTCTTAGCTGACCTAGGACCTTCCTCAGTTGTGGCCCTGAGAACAGCTGGCTTTTCAGTGTCCGCGGATGTACTTCAAAGGGCCTGACGCTGACCAGCTTCTCCCTCTGCCATCTACCGGCACTCATCATTTTCACACCCATCATGTCTGTCATTCCTAAGTCCCCTGACAAAGCTGGGGCTGGTGGCACAAATCCTATCTCACACAAGAATTTGAGGTACAGAGAGGGACTGTGAGCTCAGGCTTTTGCTGCCAACGAGCAAGGGAATCAGTACTAGCATCAGACCAAGATCCAGCTCTACCTGAGGCCGTGCAAGGAGCAGGGAAAGAAACCAAGAAGAAAACATTTTCTCCTTATATGTAAGAGGTGAAAACTCCAAGACTGTCAACAAAATAAGCCGCAGATGGTGTGGAAGGGAATGCAAGCTCCCCAAAGGCAAAGTAGATGAACAGGGAAAAGGAGGTTGAACTTGGCCACCCCTATTGCCTCCTGCCTCACTGTTTGCCTGGGAAGTTAGGTCCCACATCAGTCCAAGGCCCAAAGTCTTCTGCCTCGAGGGGTAGGGTCAGAGCCTGGCCTCACCATCCATACTTGCTACTTAGTGTCATTAGTCACAGTGGCCCCTCAGGCCCCTGTCCTAACACGCTAAAGGGGTGATGCCCCAGTGCCCAGCTGTGGTCCCACTGTGGAAGCAATTGTTTGCACCTTAGTTCTCATTTGAATACAGATATTTATAAGTTAGCGCTTTTGGTTCAAAGCCATTGTTAGTGGGCATCTTTGGGGTCCTTTCTTGACGTAACTTTATATACCTACAAACTCATACACACGCATAGATTAAAAAAAACATTTTTAAATATTATTTTTAAAGAGGGGAAAGAGGTAGAGAAACATCAGTGTGTGGTTGTCTCTTATGCGCCCCTACTGGGGACCTGGCCCGCACCCAGGCATGTGGCTTGACTGGGAATCTAACCAGCAAGCTTTCAGTTCACAGGCCAGCACTCAATCCACTGAGCCACACCAGCCAGGACTGGAAAAAAAAAAAAACATTAAAAAAAAATCACATGCCATGGGTGTGCTCTCCCCGCCGGGAGCATTGCCCACCCCTTTTCCTTTCCTCTCTCCTTCCCGCACAGGCGTGTATCACCTAAACTCGAAGGGTCACCACAAGACCCCTAACCAGGGGGAGGATGGGCAGCGGCAGCTCGCCTGGACTAAGCCCCTGAATCTGTCCCCAAGACCCTTTTCTCTGACTCTCCAGTGGGCTGACAGCAGCCCCACCTCGGCTCATTTCTTTCCCATGACATCTCTGAAGAGCCAGGGCAGCCCCACCTCTCTCCTATCTGAACCCTTTCTTGTTTCACTGTCCCCAGCTTTAATAAGTGTGTCTTCAAAAGTTTTTTTAAATCACATCATATGCATTATCAAGGTGAAATTTTCAAAAAGTTAAAAACATCTTGTCTAGATACTGAATGGACATGGAACTCAGACGTATTAACTCATTAGTGAGGGGACTTCCCCTTAGTAAGGTGGTCATACATCTCAAAGAGCTGGGTATTGCTAGGCATGTGAAGAGGAGTGTTAGAATGTGATTACTAGATGAGATACAAAACTGACTAATGTCCTACAGGACGATAAAAATTTTCATTAAAATCATTTTTAGGTTATTTTTTTCTACTGGATATGTTTCGCATTTCTCCTGGAAAGTATCTGTTTGTAATTTCAGAGTCTGAACCCTTAATAGTAAATAGTAAAATCAAATAAATGTACATCCCTGTAGGTGGTTAAGTAATCCTTGGGTGGGCTTGTGAAATAATGGTCCAGCCCTGACTGGTGTGGCTCAGTTGGTTGGGTATCATTTCACATGAATGAAAGGTTGCTGGTTCAATTCTCGGTCAGGGCACATGCCTGGATTGTGGGTTCGGTCCCAGGTCAGGATATGTATGAGAGGCAACCAATCAATGCTTCTCTCTCACATCAGTGTTCCTCTCCCTCTCTTTCTCCTTCCCTTCCCCTCTGTCTAAAAATAAATAGATAAAATCTTAAAAAAAAATGGCCCAGTATGACACTCAGAAGACCTACTACACTCTTGGTCTTATTTCCAAAGTTTGGACAATTTTTGTTAGTTTTTTGCATCCCTTTAAAAAGTTTATAGGCTTCTTGGGGTAGATCTAAATCTATGTGCTTCTTCATCTTCTTAAGATTATAGCTTCATAGGCTGAACTCTTCACATGTATGTTAAAAAATATTTGCCCTGGCTGGTGTAGCTCAGTGGATTGAGCCCGGACCTGCGAACTGCATGATCGCGGTTGGATTCCGGTCAGGGCACATGCCTGGGTTGCAGGCCAGTTCCCAGCGGGGGACTCACGAGAGGCAGCCACACATTGATGTTAAATATATTTATTTATCTTTAGAGGGGAAGAGAAGGAGAAAGGGAGAGAAACATCAATGTGTGGCTGCCTCTCGTGAGTCCCCCGCTGGGAACTGGCCTGCAACCCAGGCGCGTGCCCTGACCGGAGAATCGACCTGCGATCATGCAGTTCGCAGGTCTGCGCTCAATCCACTGAGCTACACCAGCCAGGGCTACATGTATTTTTTTAAACACCCTCTGAACATCTCTTAGATTCAGTGATCAGCACACTTTTTCTGTAAAGGACCAGATAGTTAACGTTTTAGGTTTTTTGGCCATATGGTCTCTGTAGCAACTACTCACCTCCACGGTTGTAGAGAGAAAGCAGATGGGCATGGCTGTGTTCAAATAAAACTATTTATAGGCGCTAAAGTAATTTTGCATGATTTTATGAAAATAATTTTAAATGAAGATATAACTGACATGTAACATTAAGTTTCACTCAATATTTGTATATATCTGCAAATGGTCACCACAGTAAGTAGTTAACATCTGTCACCACACACATAGTTAACAATATTTTTTCTTGTGATGAGAATTTTTAATACCCTATGATTACATGAATTTCATGATTTTCATGTATCACAAAATATTATTTTTTCAACCTTTTAAAAATGGAAAAAATCTTATTTCATAGGCCACATGAAAACTGGTGGTGTGTTTGATTCATAGGACCCCCGCCAAAGAATAATTAAACAAGATTGTTTTCATTCCACCACTGTTTCCCCCTCCCTGCCGGCCCATCATAAGTAAGGTTTCAAGGACCACGTTGATAAAAGTCCTTTGTTCCATTCAATGTCTCAGTTTGAACTCCAAGTCATCCCCTGTCCTCTTGAGCTTTTCATCTGGGTGAAAAGCTGCACCTTTGTCCAAATCAGGAACCTGAGAACTATTCTCTAATCTCCACTCAACCTCTCACTCAGCACATCCTGTCAGTCAATTTAACATCTGCCAAGTCTGTTCTCTGAACACTGTATATTTAAGTGCACTAGAATCCCTTGGGGACTTAAAAAAAAAGCAGCAGCAGCAGCTAGGTCTAGCCTTGGCTGATGTGGCTCTGTAGATTGAGGGAGGGCCTTATAGGTCCCTGGTTCCATTCAGAGACAGGGCACATGACCCAGGGCCACAGTTGGGGCGGTCCAGAGTCAACCACGTTATCTCTTGCATATTAGTATTTCTCTCCCTTTCTCTCTACCTCCCCCTCTCTCTAAATACATAAATAAATAAATAAAATATTTTAAAAATATTTTTTATTGACATGGTATTACAGTTGTCCCATTTTTTCCCTCCCCTTTATTCCCCTCTGCCCTGCACCTCCCCTCCCACCAGCATTCCCTCCCCCCTTAGTTCAAGTCCATGGGTCATACATATAAGTTCTTTAAGAAGCATAATGGTAGGTACAAAATGGACAGGGGGAGGTTAAGAATAGTATAGGAGATGGAGAAGTCAAATAAAATCTTTAAAAAAGAAGCTAGGTCTGCCTTGACATCGTCCCTCCCGCTAAGGGCACGTGTCTGAGTCGCAGGTTGGGTACCCAGTCCAGGCACGTGGAGAGGCAGCTCCCTTTCTTCCTCTTTTCCCCTCCTCTTTAAAAATAAAAGTAAATAAATCTTTATTAAAGAAGCAGTAGTAGCAGAAGTTCTATCTGGGCAAAACCCAGAATCTTAAAATGCACCACAGGTGATTCTGAAGCACGTCAGAGAACCAGGCCTCGAGAGACTGCACTAGAAGCACGGTGCGGCTTACTGTATGTGCATTTAATCCTCGCAGCTCTCCTGTGAAGTACCCCAATTTTAGGAATTGAGGTGGCAACTGAGCCGCTGCCCAGGTTTTACAGCCCTGCTTTACACACGCTCTCCGGCTTTACAGCCCGCTTTCCGTGCACTGCACCTAAGGGCATATTTCGCGGACCCTTGCCTGTGGGGGTGCGGGGAAGTGGGGTTGGAAGCCGCTTCCCGCCCTCCCTTTGGGAGGGCAGCAACCCGATCAATTCCACAAAGTTCTTCCATCTGAGAAGGTGGGAGAAATCAAGGGCTCTCTCAGAACCTCCTCGCTCGGTGGCGGAAAGACGCGGGGGAACTCTAGTCTCAGAATCTGGGCGGCGGGGGAACGATATACCTGAAGGACTGCCTCGTTTCAACAACAACTTTATGGTTCCCGGAAGTGCCTCCTCCCTGTCCCCTTCCCAGCCACACGCAGGTGGGCTGCGGTTGGAGCGATGGCCGCGGCAGCCGCTGGGTCCGGCCCAGGGCCTGGACCTGGGGACTCCCCGGAGGGGCCGGAGGCGGAGGCTCCGGAGCGTCGGAGAAAGGCACACGGAATGCTGAAGCTTTATTACGGCCTCTCGGAGGGGGAGACAGCTGGACGCCCAGCGGGGTCGGACCCCCTGGACCCGACTGATCTCAACGGGGCGCACTTCGACCCGGAAGTTTATCTGGACAAGGTATATTTACGTGAGGGGAACCAGACCCCCCAGTGTTTTGCACCCCCAGATCATTCCTCCCGCTCTGTTGCGGGGGTGAAGGAAGCAGGGATTCATAAGAGGAAGACGGCCCTCGGCCAGTACGACCCTCGGCCAGGCAGTTGGAACAAAGCTGGAGTCTAAGGGGGAGTGGACAGACCTGAGGTGGTGCGGGTTCGAGGTGGTGCGGGTCCGAGGTCTCCTGATGTTCTGATAGTCTCAGCAGAGGGGGCGTGGCCTAGGTGCTGACAGTCACTGGACTGGGCTTTGGTCTGAGGATTTTAAATGCTGGCAGACCCCAAATGTGGTTCCCCAAACGTAGTAACTCCTGAGCTATGCCGGTTATAGACTCCATTTTGCGATTCCTGACAGGGGTGGGAAAAGGGTGTTCTTGTACTGAAAGCCTTCCCGTTAAGGACAAGGCTTGGGGACACGAGTACCTGTCACTTGAACACTAAACATCCGATTTCCTCCAGCTACGTAGAGAGTGCCCGCTGGCTCAGCTGATGGACAGTGAGACGGACATGGTGCGGCAGATCCGGGCTCTAGACAGTGACATGCAGACCTTGGTGTATGAGAACTACAATAAGTTCATCTCGGCCACAGGTGATTCCCACTGGGACACACCCCTCGGTACCTCCGCCCCCCAGTCCATTCCTCCCCCCTCCATGTAAGGGTTAGTTTCTTTTATTAGTGATAGTCTTCATCTCTGTTCCAGGTCTGTTTTGAGGATGGGCTTGCCTCTTCCTATTTTTCGTTTCTCCTTCCTTTCCTTCCTTTCCTTCCTTTCCTTCCTTCCTAGAAGCAGGGTTCTTGAAGGGAGGAGGAGTGGAACCTGTCTGGAAGTGTTAAGGGGCCAGGCCCTGAGCCACCTGGATGTGAAAGGGAGAGCAGCCTCCTTGGGCAGGTTTCTGTTGGAAGGAAAGGGAAAGGACCTTTCAGAGAAGATGGACCATGTTCCAGAGGGCAGAGTGGAAAGGTTTGGGAAGTCTGGGGAGGAGAGAAAGGTGAACAAGTATTTATTGTCTCCCCAGTGCCAGGCATTGTGCTGGGCATGGAGGATCCCCCTGGGAATAAGCAGACTTATCTCTGCCAAGGGCCCAGTGCCCTCCTTTGGGCCTGGGCACCTTTCGAGGGCAGGGGTTGTGGCGCCATGGGCTGCTCTCCCACAGCACCAGGGCCCAGATACACACAAGGGGTGCTGAGAAAACACCTGCTGCACTGACATAATGACCCCCCTTCCCATTTACTGTGACCAAGCACCACAGCAGCCCACATCACCAAAACATCAGTGCGACCCTCCAGTCGAAGGCTCAGGCGTGTTGGGCAGGGCGCGAGTGTGTGCGGGAACACCTGGACTGTGCTGTCAGGCCGAGTGCTGTGCCTGTTACTGCCCTCCCCCATCTCCTTTTCTCTTTTCTGCACCCTTGCCCTCCCAGACACCATCAGGAAGATGAAGAATGATTTCCGGAAGATGGAGGATGAGATGGATCGGCTGGCCACCAACATGGCTGTGATCACGGACTTCAGTGCGCGTATCAGCGCCACACTGCAGGATCGCCACGAGCGAATCACCAAGCTGGCAGGTGGGCCCTGCCCCAGAGAAGGTGCTAAAGTGGGCCACCCTCAGGGCTTTGGGGCTGACATCACCTGCCCTCACCCCCAGGGGTCCACGCTCTGCTGCGGAAGCTGCAGTTCCTCTTCGAGCTGCCCTCTCGCCTCACCAAGTGCGTGGAGCTGGGTGCCTACGGGCAGGCAGTACGCTACCAGGGTCGTGCGAGGGCCGTGCTGCAGCAGTACCAGCACCTGCCGTCGTTCCGTGCCATCCAGGATGATTGCCAGGTCATCACGGCTCGCCTGGCCCAGCAGCTGCGACAGCGTTTCAGGTGTGGCCCCTGGGTCTTCACCTTACCCCTGCCCAGAACTTTCCTGTCTCCCCCAGCCCCACCCCAGATTCTGTCTTCTTGCACTTCCCTGCCATCTTGCTCCTGGCAGGGAGGGCGGCTCTGGGGCACCTGAGCAGGCGGAGTGCGTGGAGCTGCTGCTGGCCCTGGGCGAGCCTGCGGAGGAGCTGTGCGAGGAGTTCCTGGCACATGCCCGAGGGCGGCTGGAGGAAGAGCTGGGAAGCCTGGAGGCGGAGCTGGGACCCTCCCCCCCAGCCCCTGATGTGTTAGAATTCACTGACCACGGAGGCAGTGGCTTTGTCGGTGGCCTCTGCCAGGTGGCCGCAGCCTATCAGGAGCTGTTTGCGGCCCAGGGCCCAGCAGGTGCTGACAAGCTGGCAGCCTTTGCCCGGGAGCTGGGCGGCCGCTACTTTGCACTGGTGGAGAGGCGGCTGGCACAGGAGCAGGGTGGTGGTGACAACTCACTGCTGGTGCGGGCACTGGACCGCTTCCATCGGCGCCTGCAGGCACCTGGGGCCTTGCTGGCTGCTGCTGGGCTGGCCGAGGCTGCCACGAAGATTGTGGAGCTAGTGGCCCGTGAGCGCCTGGGCCACCACTTGCAGGGCCTGCGGGCAGCCTTCCTGGACTGCTTGACTGATGTGCGGCAGGCACTGGCTGCACCTCGCCTGGCTGGGAAGGAAGGCCCTGGCCTGGCTGAGTTGCTGGCCAATGTGGCCAGCTCTGTCCTGAGCCACATCAAGGCCTCGCTGGCGTCTGTGCACCTCTTCACCGCCAAGGAGGTGTCTTTCTCCAACAAGCCCTATTTCCGGGTATGGCCTGCCCCTTGGCATTTTTTTTTCCTGGGAATTATTTTATCATTCCACAGCTTGGCGGCTACCAGGGCACCCAGTCCTTGCCCCAGACACTCTGGGTGTGGTTTCAGGCTGGCACAATCTGAAGGGGTGGGGAAGGCTCTGAGGGCAGTTTCGAGCAGGGTCCCTTGTGCCAGTCCCTTCCCTAAGCAGGGCAGCTGCTCTGGGGTACTGGAATGCAGGAGGAAGCTGTCCCTTGGGGAGGGGCCAGGGCATTTAGGGTTCCAGCCAAGCATCACTAGCAGCCCCTGCCTGGAAGAGGGGACCTACTGTATATCTGGGCCCTTCCTCCTCACAGGGCGAGTTCTGCAGCCAAGGTGTCCGAGAGGGCCTCATCGTGGGTTTCATCCGGTCCATGTGTCAGATGGCTCAGAGTTTCTGTGACAGCCCTGGAGAGAAGGGGGGTGCCACGCCACCTGCCCTGCTCCTGCTCCTCTCCCGCCTTTGCCTGGACTATGAAACAGCCACCATTTCCTACATTCTCACTCTCACAGATGAACAATTTCTGGTGCAGGTGAACTGCCAGCTCATGGCAGGGTGGGAGAGGGTGGTGCTGGGAGCACAGGAGGCCAGGCAGTGTGCCCTCATGCTTCGACCCAGGACAGCTGCCTGTGCCCAACTCAACCTCCCCCTTGCCCAGCCTGTGCCCCTGAGCTTCCCCAAGGACCCACTGTTTTTCTGTCCTCTGCATCCCTGGCTCAGGACCAGTCTCCAGTGACACCTGTGAGCACACTGTGTGCAGAAGCCAGGGAGACAGCACGGCGGCTGTTGACCCACTACGTGAAGGTGCAGGGCCTGGTCATATCACAGATGCTGCGCAAAAGTGTGGAGACGCGGGACTGGCTCAGTACCCTGGAGCCCCGCAACGTTCGTGCTGTCATGAAGCGGGTGGTGGAGGACACGACGGCCATTGACGTGCAGGTGCAGGCCAGGGAGCCCTGCTGCCGACGGGGGTGCTGGGGAAACAGCCCTCTGAGGGTCAGGACCGCAGGGGTCAGGCAGTACCTGCACCTGTGGCCTCAGTCCTCCTCCAACCTGGATTGTGGCATCATTGCCCCCATTTCACCTGTGAGGAAGCTGAGGCCCAGGGTCACCCTGAAAATAAGGGCTTCAGTATCAGCTGTGTATGTCCCCACCTTTGCCCTACTCCACTAGTTCTGTAAATAGTGACTGGGTGCTAACTAGGTAAACAAAGCCTGTGATTGTTATAACAAACATAACTCTCGTAGCACATGAATGTGACGTAGGGCAGGCATCCTTGGCCAGAGTACCTGGTGGGCTAGGGGGCCCCTGTGCTCTGGTCTCCTTGCAGTGTCCCCTTTGCACCTGCAGGTGGGGCTCCTGTATGAAGAGGGTGTCCGCAAGGCCCAGAGCAGCGACTCCAGCAAGAGGACCTTCTCTGTGTACAGCAGCTCCAGGCAGCAGGGCCGCTATGCGCCCAGCTACACACCCAGGTCTGCTGGCCAGGGCAGCCCCTGGGGGAATGGACGAAGGGGAGCTGGGTGCGAGGTGGGATCTGAATGCTCTTCCCCCCATGCAGTGCCCCAATGGACACCAACCTCTTGAGCAACATCCAGAAGCTGTTCTCGGAACGCATCGACGTGTTCAGCCCTGTGGAGTTCAACAAGGTCCGAAGTGCGCAGTGACCCTGCCTTCTAGGGGCCCCGTGGGAGGTTGGCTGAGGCAGCTGCGCACAGACACAGGGAGGCCTAGAACTCTGTCCCCCGGCCCTTACCTGTGAAAGGTGTTTCTAGGAGTGACTGGTTGCCCAGAGCCACCACTGCCATCCCATGGCCCTCTGCCTTGACTTTGGTGCGCCCCCAGCCTGGGCCTGTGTGCTTATCTAGTGTACCTCTTTGGCCCTTCTAGCACCCACAGTAGTCCTGGGATCTTCCTGGGGACTTCTGTTGATGCCGTGGTCTCTGCCGCAGTCGGGCCCAGCCCATGCTGAGGGACCTGGTGGTGATCCCCTAGCTCAGTAAGCCCCTCTCTGCCTGTCATTGCTGACCCACATCCAGGCCTGTGATTGCTGGGCGTTCCCTGTCTTCATCCCTCCAGATGAAGGGGCCTTGTATCCCTCCCTCTCTGGAGCTTTCCGCACCATCACAGCTACTGGCGTCGTACTGTCTCCTTGGCCCCGGCTCACGTGGAGCTGCATCCCTGTGTCCTTTCTTTCAGGTGTCAGTGCTGACCGGCATCATCAAGATCAGCCTGAAGACGCTACTGGAGTGTGTGCGGCTGCGCACCTTCGGGCGCTTTGGGCTGCAGCAGGTGCAGGTGGACTGCCACTTCCTGCAGCTCTACCTGTGGCGCTTTGTGGCCGACGAGGAGCTTGTGCACCTGCTGCTGGATGAAGTGGTGGCTTCAGCTGCCCTGCGTTGTCCCGATCCAGTGCCCATGGAACCCAGTGTCGTGGAGGTCATCTGCGAGCGTGGATAGGCCCAGCGGTTGTCCTGTCGTGCCGGGGCTTGCCCGGCCACCGCAATCTTCACATCCCCTGGCCTTCGCCCGAGTGCCCCTTTCCCTCCAGCCTCAAGACCTTCCTAATAAAGAAGTGCTGTCTCCTCCTCTTGCCTTCCCTGGTGGGCGGGGCTTGGGGGTGGGGTTTCGAGGGTGAAGCTCAACACTTGGGCTGGAGGTGCCTGCGTTGGGCTCGCCCCTGAGCGCTGATTGGCCGATGTTCTGGGCTCAGGATGATTCGGGGGGCGGGTCCATTTAAAGG